ATTTTAGTGAGGATTGCGTTAAATCTGTATGATGCTTTAGGTAATATGGTCATTTTAACTATGTTGATTCTTCCAATCCAAGAACACAGAAAATCTTTCCATTTCTTTGTATCTTCTTTGATTTCTTTTAATAGGGTCTTGTGGTTTTCATTATGTAGATCCTTCACATGTTTCATTAAATTTATTTTTAGGTATTTTATTCTTTTTGTTGCAATTGCAAAAGAAATTATTTTTCCACTTTTTTTTCTGACACTTCATTATTAGGGTATAAGAATGCTATGGATTTTTGAACATTGATTTTGTATCCAGAGACTTTACTGTATTTGCTTATTGTTTCTAGTAGTGTTCTTGTGGAGTCTTTAAGGTTTTCTATATAGGGAATCATGTCATCTGCAAATAGTGACAGTTTGACTTCTTTGTTTCCTACTTGGATGCCTTTTATATCTTTCTCTTGATAGCACTCTCTAAGATCTCCAAAGTTATCTTGAATAATAGTGGTGATAGTGGACAGCCTTGCCTTGTTCCTGATCTTAGAGGGAAGGTTTTAAGTTTTTCACCATTAAGTATAATGTTGGCTGAGGGCTTGTCATACATGGCCTTTGTTATGTTAAGGTACTTTCCTTCTATACCGATTTTGTTAAGTGTTTTGATCATAAATGGATGCCATATCTTGTCGAAGGTTTTTTCTGCATTACAGTGTTTCTAATTCTCTCTTTCCTCTCCAATCTACCTTCTTCCACAACTACCAGATGAAACTTTCCAAGACTTGACTTAGATTATGCTCTTTAGATGTCCAAGGACCCACAGTGACTCTCTTGCTTATCATACTGATCCAAACTCCTTTGTCTGGCTACCAAGATACTTTGTAATGTGCTGTCACCCTCTTTGGTTCTGCTCATTTCCCACTGTGCCCCTCTCCTAACACATACAATATTTACCTGTGCACACATGTGTATGTGCATGCACACATGCGCACGCATGCACATACATACACACACACACTCTTCTCCACTGAGACAAGGCTGTTTCCTTTATTCTCTGTTGCACCCAGCATGCTTGTTCTCACTTTTACGCTTCTTTTCATGCCTTGACTCTCTGTGAAATGTGTCTTCGCTCCCTGTATTCACATCATCCATGTTCTTCACAGCCAAAGCAATCTTCCATGATGCTGTTTATGAATTTTCTTCTTGCTAATTTCTCTCACTCAATTTCACTGCATTTATGTCCTGTGCCATACAGTCTTGCACTTATGATATGTATTTTTAAGATCTGGGGTGCAGAGAACACATCTTAACCCATCTCTGCATTCCCCATTGCACTTCGTGCCATGTAACTATGTTGTTGATGGCTGGTAGGTGCTGGGGGTATTTGAGAATCTCCCTTTGAAACCCTCCATGTCCTTCCCACTCTTTCTCTGCTTCGCCCTCTCCTTTATAATCATCTGTCTTCTCACATCTTTCAAACCTTTAGCTCTACATTTAAACAATGATATAATCAACGAAATTAGCCTTTAGGAATAGTGGTGTGTTCAGGTAGAAAGGCTACTGAAGCCTGCTTCCTCCTAGGTTATGGGAACTGATCTGAGAAAGGGAGGTGATTTGGGTCCATGTGCAATGTTCTTTCATTTATTAAACACGTTTATTAAACCCTTCCGCCATACTCTATGCTTATTAGGAGGATCTAATAATGTTAGTAATTGTAAATTTTTTACATTTACAGCTATCATTCCTCTTTTATCCCTCTTGCATCCATTGCCTTTACCTGCAAACTCCGTCTCATTCCCATTTCTGAGCCCCAAGGCGGCTATGTCAGCACCTCGATTACTGTAGTCACTGAGGCTTAGGAATGTCACAGTGCCCGTGTCACCATGCTCTCATGCTGCTTGAACCCTGGGCACTGGCTCTGGGTGGTCTTTGCCATCAGTCATGTCATTCTTGTGTTCAGAGGCATCTTCAGGAGGCAGTAGCTTCCTCCAGATCTACCTGAGCTAGCTAAGGTACAGTCAGATTATCAAGACCCTCAAATGACAGGAAATGTGATAAGTTTTGAGGGGACAGAAGTGGGATGAGAAGGAATAAGTCAAGTATAGGGTATTACTGGGCAGAGAGGGCCTCCTAGGAGGCCCCCTGTCAAGGCTGCTGTTGGTGCTGCAGAACAAGAAGGCCTCTAAAAGGCCCTGAGTACTCACATTTTAGTAGCAAAGCCTAAAGAAACAGCATTTTGGACAAAGCATAGCTTTTATACACTTTGTCCAAGGTTGGTCCTGAATATAACTGACTGATTAGTTATGCAAATGGAAAGAGTTCCAGGCCCACTGTCATACCTTGCATCTTCCTTTGGTCCGATTTTAGGCTACAGCTCCTGTCTCTCCCTCCAATAAAGGAACATGGTGTTTAAGGGCACACACTTTCCAATTTGACTTTAGACTAGTTTCTGAATCTGTCTGAACTTCAGCTTCCTCCTTTATGAAATGGGATAATAAATAGCATACGTCTTAGGGATGCTGCTCTGAAGATTGAGATAAGTGCATGTAAAGGGCTTAGTTCTTGGCTCCGGAAACTTCTAGTGAGCATTAGCTGTAATTGTCATTCTTATTGTGATCGTCATCCTTCATCTCATTGCTTACCCAGTATGGACAGAGTGAGGCAAAGTTCTGGGATGTCCACAATACCAGACACTCAGATGCATGCTGACCTGTAGCCTACAAGCAGCTGGAGTGTGGTAGCAGAGCAGTCACCATGGCCACCCTATGACTCCCTCCTCAGCCCACTGCTAGTGCCTGTGTTCCCAGTTATGGCCACTTCAGAGCTCTAGCAATGCTCTGTGTTTGACATCAGTGCTCTTTTCACCCAAGGACCACCTCAGGACGTGAGAGATGGGGCTGTCTGCCCAGCAAAGTCACTTGCCTCTCTACCTGCCTTCATTCTGCCACAGCCAGGAAGATCCAACTTCTATTAGCAACCATTAACAGCCTCATTATACTAGCCATTGATCTGACAGATTTTATTAACCCTGCCTACGGTCAGCCGCTTCCGCTCTTTACATTAATAATCATTTGGAACAGAATTCCTGTAGAATAATGTAGTGTGTTTGCATTAGGAGCAAATGAGTTCACAGTGATTAATGCTTTTACAACAAATAACTCAGGAATGCATGACTGGTCACCTCTTCCAGGAGCCTGCCCTTTGCAAGTGACATTCAATTGGATTTCCAAATGAATTCTCCTTGATGACTCTGGGAAGTTTTACTTCAGTGATGTCATTAGTGATGGACCATAGACTGTGGATTAATACCAGCTAGAAGATCTTTAAAAGAACCACAATTTTGGGTTGGGGCCGGGGGTAGGAATGAAGAAAGGAGGAAGACCACATTCTGTGAGCTTTCTAAATATTTA